AAAAAACGAGGACTTGAATAAATGACCTACTATTGAGATAAATTTCAAGAAAAAAGAATTCCTTTTAATAAAACAAAAAGTTATCAATGTGCTAACATTTATTGCAAGGACTAGATGCTTGGTATATATGATTTTTTGTAATAGTTTTTTTATGAAGAAAATGAAGCCTAGAAAACTGACTTGCGATTAAGACAATTTCAAGAAAAAGAAATTTCTTTCAGTATAATAATAAGTTATTACCGAGAAAAAAAATAAGTTATTAAAGTTTTATTGTCAATTACTATTAATGAGTAATTATAAATCGGCTTGCATGATTTTTTATTGGATTATGTTAATTATATAAATACATACATATATATATATGTATATATGCATATGTGTAAAGATGTCAATACTTACTTTATATATGTATGATTTTTTTGTAATAATTTTTTATGAAGAAAATGAAACATATATAATTGACCTACTATTAAGTGTGTGTAGAGATGTCAATTCTTTTCTAATTTTGTAAAAATGTATTGTGAATCTAGTCATTACAGTGACATTTGGTGCATCCAATGCAAGTTTCTTTGACTTGAGTTGTATAAGTTTACATTGTCTGCTAATTATAGTGAGAAAATGGATACTTAAGGAAAATTTTACATCTATTTTCATCAATCCAGGATCCCAAAAAATCCAATTTGACAGATGCCAAATATGCAAGATTTGACCCTTCCAAGTTCCATGGTGCTGGCCTATAGCAAAAGACATAGTTCGTGAGGATTTAGGACCACCATGCATGTTTTAGAGTTATATAGTTCGCGAGGATTCATCCCAGAATTGGACACGTGCATCGTTATGGGCCAGTAGCCGGGGAGAAAGCAGGAGCTATGGCCCTCCCACACGAGACCCACGTGATGTTCCTCCATACCTAGCTACCCAGTGATGGCTAGGTACGTTTTATGTAGACCCGACGTTAGCTAGAAAACCAGAATTGCACGTATCACACCGAAAACAAATGGTTGTTATTTTTTGACACTTGTTAAATGTGCAGGATCAATTTCTGAATCTTACACAAGAAAAATGTTTTGGTGTGGTCTATAGTTTATGAAGTGTACTCTTTTAATATCTTTAAGTGTGTGAACT